CTCCGTGGAAATGATCTCTGAACATTCTGTTCCCTATGGAATACTCTTTAGAGCTGAAAAAAAGCTGTTCAATCTATTTCAGACCAAGGCTGTATCACCTAGGTCCAATCAGGTTAAAAAGTTAGGTTGGTCTTGAGCAGACTTGAATCTTCAGTAAAGAGAACTGTTACCACCCTATACAGCAACTACACCGCAGTGTTATCAAATTCACAGTGAACCTAGGATGCGCCGTGCACCCTACTTGCCCTGTAATTGCAAGCATGTTTGGCCAGGTGCTCTAATCATCCATTGTGAAGCTAAACTCAGACAATTACTTAGCAGATGATCCGAGCTATTATCGCTGTCGGGAAAGTAGAAGGCACAGTTAACTGTTTTTGAAAACCTTAAGGAGGGTATAGTGTGCCGGGTAGTTGATTTCAGAGCCACATGTGTGTACACGGCGCCGCTAACCACTGCACTACAATCGTAAAAATTTATCAAAATTTTGAAAAATATCGTTTTTTGAATGATCTGAAAAACCTTTGATTTCAGCGCCATATTCTTATGTGGATTTATCTTACGACAACATTCCGTTCGTTGGAAAAATTCCCGTTCTTGGAAAAGAAGGAACTTCGTCCAAATTGGGAATCTCTCCTTTCTACCCGCCACAAGGGAACCCTAGCAATCCTTTCCCACCACTGTACAGGTAACACTGATTGCATTGCTTACTCTGATCAAGTAGTTCTGTGGAACCAGTTAGACCAGTAACAGCGTTGTACTGGTTACAGAGCTCGTCCACTCCCATTGCATGTACCAGAACCTCAAGATGTGGTCGCGGTGCCCCTTGATGAAGAAGCTCTACATGGAGAACCTCTATTCCCTGCAGGTAGTACTGTATCCACCATACTTATTATCGAAGCCGCAGTATTATTGAAAAATGACGTAAAAATTGGTTCCAAAAGAAGAAGAAATCACTACTTCAGAGCTCCTCCTGCCATCTGAACGAAAAGAAGAAGTTGGCGAGAAAGAGACAATCGAAAAACCGACTGATCCATTTGGAACCACATCAGAACTTTTTGAGGTAATCGTTGCTATTTATGAGGGAGAGTTTCTATATCACTAAGATCTCATGGGTTTTACTGCGTAACATACCAGTTCATAACCTTTGCCACGGACGGGTAAACGCAAAAGATCTCAACGACTAGAAAACCGATTTCTAGACAGCATGAGAACCTCTCTGATAAAGTATACCTCCTCTATTCAGAGCGGGCTGGTTTCCTGGCCCACCGAGAAGGAGGATTCATTGCCAGAAGATTTAGAAGAACACAAAACAGGTGAGTCATTCACATCACATTTTTAAAAAAGTTGTAAAAAGCAGCGCATTGGTTCCTAGCATGACTAGCAGATTACAACGGATATCTAGCAATCTGGCAGACCCCGCTAGAATGGAGAAGAAAAAAAAGGACAGCAAAGCTCGACGTTGTGTGAGACTGCGCCACCTTCACCAAAATGTGAAGCAGGATTTAGGTGGACCGTACCATATTCCTTTCAACACCCCCACTCTCTAATGAGGAAGAAGTTACAATCGGTTTTTTTTTTCTATAGAGTGTTTTCTGTCCTGACCCTCCTCAAAGGCGGTTCTGTGAACTGAAACTATAATAAATGGGGTTCGAACTAAACTACGAGAACTAAAGAACAGTCCTATCGTAATGAAGGAAGACGTCACATCTTATAGTGTAGAATTCATACCCACACTTCAATCTAACCAGGTTTCCGAACAAAATTGAAAATCTTGCGAAAACTCATGCTCACACAGGAGAAAACAGTGCGCCAACAGCAAAAATATAAAGTAAAATGCAGTAAATAAAAAGAAGTTCAACAAGTGAAGTTGTTTGAGAACAATAAAAGAAATTGAAGAAGCTCCGAGTACTAAGATTTCATAATCAGGAGTTTCTGACATCAACCATCTTAAAAGGAGAATCATGAGCACGTATTTTTCAGAGAAAAGAGACGATGTAACGATACGAGTGGATAAAGTAGCCGAGAAAAACGTAAAAGAAGAAGAGCTGGCTACAATGAAATCTTCACCGGAAGGAAGGCCTAAGAATCCTTTCCGATCAAAAAGAGTCTGAAGGGGATATATGTAGGTGCTTCAACCATATTGAGCACATGACAGTGAAAAAAAGGTCTCAACTCACTTTTATCTGGTTGAAATACGGAAACATGTTTGTATGCAGTTATTATTATTTATTACAAGTTTATTTATACCTAATGAAGTTTCTTTCTACTACATAGAGAACATCCACAGAAATATAGCATAATGTTTAAGTAAGAGCAAGCACGCAAGGCATCGACACACCATTTTTCTTCAGAGACGTAACAACAAATAGCAAAAATTTTTATTTCCACAAAAATAAGTCATACAATAATGTAACAAAAAGTTTCTACGGCAATATAAATAGAAATTTTGCCAACAATTTACAGCGTCATCAACGCAAGATCTGAATCGGCAGTAGCCGCAAGTATTTACATTAATAACAAAAATAACACAACGACGCACACATTTCACGGACACGTTTTTCTGCGATATGCGCCTACTTCCTTTTACAGCGAAATCGAAGGGAACAACAACGAAAGTGACTGATTGGAAGATATTCCTATAGAGGTTTTCTACAACTTACTTGTTTTTTACACTGCCTAAGGATAATAAAGCAGTCAGATGTGATGCGCTACATTAGCCTTTACAATGTCAAAAGACGCTATTCTGAAAAGCACATAGGCAGTAGAGAGAACGGGAAAATGAAATGGAAATATGAATAAATACAAAAAATATGGATGCAAACAACAACAACAAACAAGTCGTAAAAAAGTTTAGTAACGTGCTCCTTTTCGGAACCAGAACCTAGCACGGAAATCGTCACTACCGGTCAAAAAGGCCGGAACTGTTGGAGAATGGACGAAGACGCGAGTGGCAGCAGTATGGCCTATAGGATTAAGTTCAAAATAAAAGAAAAAAAAGCACCATTTATAGAAACACTTACCCAAGGCTAGAAGCCTTTTCCTATCTGAATTACGAGCATCCCATGAACACAAACTTCCAGATTTTTCATCCGGGAATAACACTGTAAATTAGAGTTTCGTAAACACTGTTATCATTACAGGTAATCGTCGCATCAGCGAAGGTAATAATCATGACTGCTCTGATTTTAAATTCTTTCAAGTGAGTAATTCATACAAAACTGGACATTCAGGTGAAGGTGAACACAATAAAAAAGGTAGACAAGAGAAGAATTACCATAGTCCTCGTTATGATTGAATGTGGCTTTTACAGGGAACTCCTGTCTGCCAGTAGCTCCTGCTCCAGTATAAGCGATTAGACAACGATTTGTAGACAGTTCCCATAATTTGACGATACTATCCATGCCGCTAGTCAGAATGTACTGAAAGTTTGAAGTTCAAATTGTTCTCAGCTCAATGACGTCAGCTAATTGAAATCCCTTGTGACACAAAAAAATAGGTTTTTCAATAAAAAAAGAAGAACACTCACGAACCTTTCCATTCCTTGTGAATTTTGCAGAGCAAATAGCAGCACCGTCATGGGCTCGACTAAATGTTTCCACGCATCTATTTGATATTCCGTCCCAAACCTTGACATCGCCGTCTTTCGAGCCCGTAACGTAGAGACGAGCATTGTCGGAGTAATTCACCTAAACGTCCTCTAAATTAGCGGAAGCCGTAAGAAATAGAGAGAAAAACAATAAAAATAAATTAGCCAAACAAAAAATTACTTGAATAAGGTTATAGTGGAACTACCAAAACGAAAAAAGGAAAGAAAAATTTTAAAATTTCAGAAAAATTACATCCATCACAACGTCCTTGTGCTGATCACCCGGCGCAGAACATACGAAACACTGCGCAGTCTCGACGTTATAAAGACGGATAGTAGGATGATCGGTGGTCACTAGAAGAAACTCGCCACCAGGATGAAATGACAAAGCTCTAACTGGAAACACTTCCTGAAAAATAACATTACTTATTGGGAAAAATTGCACAAAGTATTCAGAAAAGCTGTTCCAGGACAAACCGATAACGTTTTCATCGCCCTCTTTACAGCAGTTTTGGAAAAGTCGAAGAGTTTGACAGTTTTGTCGGTAGAACCAGATACCAAGATTTGTTCACGAGGATGAAATGTAACAACTGTTACTTCCTAAAAATAAGGTATTGGATATTGAATGAACAAAGATTGTGGGCACAAATCCAGTACCGTACGATAGTAAGTACAGAATAGAAATCAAAAAGTTTTCGGAAGAAATAAAAACTCACATCAAGATGATCGTATAATGTCCGAATTACAGGATGATTGGCATCGGGTCCATTTTCGCTTATTTCCCCTCTTACCTCACGAGCGATCATTCTTTCGACATCCAAAATTTTTA